AAACCCTAAACCCTAGTCCGTAGAGCACTTGTGTCTGCAACTGAGGGTTTAGGGTTTAGGGTTTAGGGTTTTGGGGGTTTGCATGCAGTTATAAAGGCAGAGTTCGTGCTGCGGAAGTTAGGGTTTTTGCTCTCTGCTGTCTTCTTTCATTGGGAAGAGCAGCAGCAGCAGCGGCAGCAGCTGCTGAAGGCGCTGCAGCAACGGCGAGGCATGCTGCAGCAGCTGCAGCAAATCAAAAAGAAGAGGGAAGAAGCAAAAGGTATGTTCCTGCTGCTGCTGCTGCTGCTGCTTGTACAGCAGAAGCAGAAGCTGCCGCTGTTTGCTGCTGCAGCTGTCTGCTGCTGCCGCTGTTTGCAGCTGCCGCTGCTTGCTGCTGCAGCTGTCTGCTGCTGCCGCTGTCTGCTGCTGCCACTGCTGCTGCAGCAGCAAATACAGTTGAGCATTGTGTTGCTTTGTTTGCTGTTGCTGCAGCGGCAGCTCGTACTTTGGATGCATGCGGCAGCAGCACTCTTGCTGCAGCAGCTCAGGCCCGCAGGTTCTGTGAGCCGCCAGTTGTAGTGCAAAGCAGCAGCAGCACCAGCAGCAGCAGCAGCAGCAGCAGCAGCAGCAATGTGGAGGAGAGCTTTAAGAGGGAGGCGGAGTAGCACTAGCTGAGCTGCAAGCAGCAAGGAGCTGCTGCATTTGCTGCTGCTGCAGTTGTTGCTGCTGCAGTTGCTGCTGCTGTTGGTGTGGGGATTTGGGTCCATCCGCATGCAGAGCAGCAGACCCTGCTACGCTCCTCTATACAACTTCTATCTATCTAGCTAGCTAGTTAGCTGTCTCTCAATCTATCTATATGCTTACTTATGTCTGTCTGTCTATGCAGCTATCTAGCTAGCTATCTATCTATCTAGCTATATATATATATATATATATATATATCTATTCATCTATCTTCGCGAGCTAGCTATCTGCACGCCTCCAGCAAGCTAGCTAGCTACCTAGCTACCTATCTACCTATTCATATGTATATGTGGAGATAGACAGCTAGCTAGCTAGCTGTCTATCCATATACTTATATATATATAGCTAGCTAGCTAGCTAGCTGTCTATTCAAATATATATATATATATGTCTATCTAGCCACCCACGTGTCTAGCTATACAGCTAGCTACCCTACTAGTTAGTTAGTTAGTTAGCTAGCTAACTAGCTAGCTAGCTAGCTAGCTAACTAACTACACTGGTGCATCCCATGCCTGCCTCTTTGCTACTCAAGAACTCAGTAAAGAGTGCCGCTGCTGCTGATGCGCTGCCGCTGCTGCTGCTGCTGCAGGAGCAGCTAGCTGCTGGCTAGCTAGAGGCAGTCATGTGGCTGTAGCAAAGGAGAAGCTGTTGCTGCAGCAAGCAGCAGCAAGGAGGGCCCCGGTGTTGCTGAGAGTTTAGGGTTTGCGCCAGTTAGGGTTTAGGGTTTAGGGTTTAGGGTTTAGGGGAGGCAAACCTCCCGAATTCGCTGCAGCACAAATGCAGCATGACGATCGCTGGCTTGAGATTGCTGCAGCAGCTGCTGCCACAGCAGCTCTGCTGATTCCGACTGTTCTGCTGCTGCTGCTGCTGCAGCAGCAGCACCACTTTGCTGCTGCTGCTGCTGCAGGTGCTGTGGCAGCTCTACCTGCACGATTGAAGCGCCTTCTGCTTCTGCAGCGAGGAGGCCGCTGTCTGCTGCTGCAGCAGCAGCAGCAGCACCCATGCCCGTCCTTCCGTCTGCTGCTGCTGCAGCAGCAGCAGCAGCAGGGCGCTGATCAGGGACAGTCAGACCCGTGATGCTGCTGCTGCTAATTTTGCTTACTCTAAAGCGTGTAGCAAGAGAGAGCAGCAGCTCCTCCTCTCTTAATCTGTCTATCTCTTGTTGATGCTGCTGCTTGAGCTGCTGCAGCAGCTGCTGCAGCTGCCTTGCCTTATACTCTGTCTTGCTGAGGGAGAAGAGCAGCGAGTGCTTCTGCTGCTGCTGCTGCTGCAGCTGCTGCTTCTTCACGTGCGTCTGCTGCAGCCGCCGCTGCAGCATCTCCGCTCCTCCTGCTGCTGCTGCTGCTTCTGACTGAATTGATACAAACCGATTCTCTGATTCATCGTGCTCCTGCTGCGCTTGTTGCTGCTGCTGCTGCTGCTGCTGCAGCTCCTGCTGCCGACTGTCCCGCTGCTGCTGCAGCAGCAGCACAGCCTTTCTTATAGCTGCTTCGGAGCGATTCTCTAGCTCTATTACTTGCTGCTGCTGCTGCTGCTCCTTACCCATATTGTGCAGTTGCTGCTGCAGTTGCTGCAGCTGCTGCTGCCAGTGCTGCTGAAAAGCAGCAGCACTCCGCAGCAGCAGCGCACCTCCTTCATCCTCAGGCGCTTCTTCCTGCTGCAGCGGCAACAGAGACTGCTCTTCCTGCTGCAGCTGCTGCTGCAGCTGCTGCGGCTCCGTCAGCTGCTGCTGCTGCTGCTGCTGCTGCTGCTGCTCGTTCTCCTGCTGCTGCTCCTGCTGCTGCTGTTCATGTGGCTGCTGCAGCGCCTCATCCTGGGCAGAGAGACGCTTGAATGTGTCTTCCTGCTGCAGACTGACGTCTGCTGAGTTGGCAGCAGCAGCAGCAGCAGC